ACATCTGCCTCTGTCCCAAACTGCAGCTCCCCACCCCACTGCTCCTCTCTCTGCCCACCCTCTGCCTGCCATAGGTTAATGCATGTGAAATAGGACAAATTTCCCCACAGAAACATGAGTAAAGATCAGCAGTGATCAGCACAGTTTCCGTATTTAGAACTTCCTCAAGCCCTACAGCCACTCCTCCACCTCCTTCAGAAGAAAGATCTCTGTCATGTAACTGCACCAGCTCTCTTGCCCAGTATCCAGAAAATGTTTTTTCTGACAATTCTGCTGTTTTCCTACTGTAAGCTAAGGACATGTTTCTTTCATATTACAAACCTTTCTCAAGCAGAACCATTGTTTCTTGTCTGAAAGCTTTTCTTCTTCTTCTCTTAGCTCAAATGTCTCAACAGATACAGAAAACAACTGCAAATGGCAAAGGTAGGTTCTCTTGTTGATTTTGAGGTATGTGCTGAGATTGACTGTTAGCCAAAAAAAATGGGGGAGGAATTTAAAAATGTCAAAAAATTTCATGCCAAATTAAATCTTTTGCCTCTGTGCAGTGAGTCAGTTTAAAAGTTTCTATACAAAGTTAACCATCTCTTTGCTGACCTGTGTGTAAAGTCAAAATTGCTTTAACTTGTTAAAACATTTTTTCCCCCATGGAAATGTTGTAATTTATTTTAGTCATGACTAGTTCAGTACCATTTTCTATGGAAAGACAGGTTTTTATTGCAAATTCATTTGTATAAGATCATGAAAAGAAACAAATTTGAGAGACCATCAAGGCCCTTACTGCCACTATTCATGTGTTCAATCTATTTACACAAGGTTAGTTCTGTCTGTTAATAGACAGCAACAAATAAAATACTGCTTTTGCTTTCAGGTTCACATGCTACCTCTCAACTAATTTATAAGGTGACTTTGTCCTACAATTAATGCTCCATAATATTTGATTTAATCTTTTATACTTCTGTTGTTTTAATTGCTGCTGTAGTTCAAAAGTATTGATTCAGCTGAAACATCTGTGGGCTCTGTGTGGCTGTGCCTCCTCTGCATGAACACAGGCACTGTTCATCAAGTGTGAAGCTGCATTCTGGTTTTGAAAAGTTATTGAGTTGCCTCCCTGATAGCAGAGGTGGAAAATGCATAATGGGTCATTTTAAGACAAATAAGCATAGCTTGGTTGTCAACATATTTTGGGACAAATCTGGGTCATAAGTGCAGTCAACTCACTCAGAAGTTTTTTCTTTTCAGAGATGGTGTCCAATCCCAAGCTGCAACTGGTTCAGGGCACTTTGAGTGTGGTGATGAAGCAGAATGTGACCCTCTCCTGCCTCTCTGAGCCTGGATCCCCACCTGTCAGATACACTCTGTTCAAGCACAACCAGCAGGTATCTGTTTTCAATGGGTCAGACTTGAGCCCTGCCCTGTTCACCCTGACCATCAGCTCTGCCAGCGATGTGGGGGAATACAAGTGCAAAGCTGAGTACAACAACTCCAGTGGTGGAAAATACAGCAACAGCCTCACCTTCACCCTCTTAGGTAGGTCCTGCTGTACCCCCTCCCAGCCCTGGTTACTGCAGGGGCACACAGCCATCTCTTTTCTTGACTGAGGAGCTGAACTTTGCTGCTGTTCTTACCTCAGAGCTGGCAGTGCTCTCTTACCTGGCTCACAGCCCTTCCATCCTCCATGCCCAGCTCTTTTGCCAGTGTTGTCACTTCAAGCCTTGCCTGGAGCTTGTCCTGTACTCTGTGATTCAGACTGTTCAGTTTTCTTTCTACAGAGCCAATCTCCAAGCCAGTGCTGAGCTCCCCCACCTCTCAGGCAAAGCAAGGCCAGAACGTGACCCTGTCCTGCTTCTCGGAGAACGGATCCCTTCCCATCACCTATCTGTTCTTCAAAGGAACACAAAACATTTCTCCCCAAAAGACAATGCAGAAGAGGAAAGCAGCTGTGATTTTTCTATTTATCAATTCCCTTCGTGACTTTGGAACCTATAAATGCAAAGCTAATAACAGTTTTCCCAATATTACAAAATACAGCAACGCTTTCAACTTTACATTAGCAGGTATGAATGAAAGGAGGTTACTACTGCTGACAAACTGGGATCACACTAAATTCAGAATGTTCTAACTATGCAACTGTTTAGCCAGATATTTGGATCCTGCAATGTGATGTTCAAAATATAATTTTTTAAATTTAAAAAATTGAGGTTTTAAAATGAATGCAAAACCATAGAATTCCATGCATCCTAGATAGAAGTTTGAAGGGACAATGGGGGATGTCTGTAAAGACTCACTTTTACAAGAGACCCCTGGTCCACCTTGGAGAGAGTCTGGATTCATTTTTCTCTCTGCTCCCATGAAAGAGCTTAACTGGCTCCAGCAAGCTGCTCTCCTGCTGGGGCACAGAGCCCTTGGGACTCCCATGAACAGTTACAGTAACCCCAGTTAATCTAAAAGCTGAAAGAAATGTCAAGTCTTGATTTCAATATACAGAAAATACTTCAAATATGAAACAACACTTCATTGCATAAACACCTTTTTTTTTCTTCTTTTTAGCAGAAGAGAGAAGCCATTCTCAGCCCCTGATAATTTCTCTTGGGCTGATCCTGCTACTACTTATAATAGGATTTGCTCTGGCAATTCCGTTTTTCCTAATTCCTTTGTATAAAGCAAGTGAGTTATTTGAATGTCTGTTTCTTTTTCCAAAGGTCATTTATGTTGTCAATACATTTCAGTGTGTAAAGATCATGTTTTCAGTAGAGTAGCTCCTGGTATTTTATCATGTTGTGGAATCTCCTCTGAAGCAGCACCAGCAGCTTAACAAGACTCTGGCAAGGCCAAACCTCTGAGCTGTGTTTTAGATGAAAGGTCTGGGGTGGGGGAGGCAAAGCAACAGCTAGGGTAATACACAAAAACACTGGAAGGAATTTAATAAGAGAAATTATTAAGATGCCCTTGGTTAAAGAATAATTTTGATTGTGAAAACAATATTACCTGAGATCTCCAAATATTAAAAAATACACTGAAACTGTTTATTTCTAAGAAATATATATAAATACACACACATAACACACCTTTTCCTTCTACAATTTGCAGAAAAATTTAAGTCTTCCAGGCCCCCAACTGGCCTTATTTCAAGAGTGAATGCAGAGGAGTGTGAAAATGAAGTCATATACTCAGAGATTGGTAAGTTCCTGTCACCCCCTGCAGCCAGGCAGGTTTCTTCAGGTCCTGGAAGGGGACATCTACTGACCCTAGAGGCATTCTGAAATCCCTCAGAACTCATACCTGGCACCATCTGACAGCCACACAGCCAAAACTGCAGCTGAGGTTTTAATAAAAAAGGTGTAAGGGCCATTTACTAACAGACAATAGTGAGCTATATGTAGCGGTAGCAAAATCAAACTTGCATAGCTCCTGCATTCTGTTCAAAATCGTTCAGTACTTTAGTTATTTATTCAACCCTTCTTAAATTTGGCAAGATTCAAAATAAATTCAAACTGAAATGATGAAGTGACAACAAAGCAACTGACTTATGTTAAGACATTTTAGAACTTGAACTGCAGAAAGCAAACAATAATGAAGACATTACCTGACAATGCTCTGAACTTGCACATTTCTGCCTTTGCCTTGAATGTGAATGCCTCTTTCCAAGGGGAATAAGAACCCCTCTAAACAAACCAATAGCAAAGGCATTGTTTCCAATTTCTAAATATCCAAATGGAGAAACTGCCTCCAAACAAACCTGCCTTCCTGTTCATGCAGTGGGTAGAGCTCTCCCTGCCCTGCTGGGTCAGCTCAGTGCTGGGCTGCTGCTTGTGCCAGCTCTCAGCCTGCAAGGACAGTGAGAAGAGCTCTGATAAGCCCATGGATACTCCATGATTTCTACTCAGTATGGAATCTCACTGCTTTGTTTCAAAATTACAGAAAAAATGTCTGATTCAAGTTGTTTGTAATTGAGTTAATTGCTGTTCATCATCTTTAATCCAGAGCCTGTTAGACCAGAAGAAGAATACATCAACTTCTCTGTTATTAGAAGAGAAGAGGAAAAAGGTGAAAACCTCAAGCTGTAATATTGGAATATCTGATGCACACAAATATGTTTTGAGGGGACTTTGCTGGGTGGAGGCAGGGCTTAAATACTTGCAATTGCTTATGAAATTGCTCAGTTACTATGGAAAAACTAAAATAGCTTTAAAACTGTTTTGAGGAGGGGCGGGGAGGAAGAAGGAAAAACGCCAACAAACCATGCTAAGGCAAATTCAAGAGCCTCCCTAGGGAACACACAGATGTCATCAGCTACCACACTGCTGATGTGATGTTAATTCTGGGTATCTGTACCAAAAAGCAGCTATGAATGATGCTATTTTGGCTTTTAGCAGGGAAGAGCCCATGTGCTACAGTCTATTCAAAGGTCCTCATCAGAGACTGAGTACCAGGTATGATTATCATTTTTTCTGATTAACTTAATCACATACTTTTAAAATTTTCAGCCCTCAAATGCGCTAAATTCCAGCAAGCCACATACAAAGAGATGACATTCAGATACCAATTTCCTGGCCTAATCAGTTTGTAGACAGACAGTGTAGCTCACTTTTGAAGCAAAATCTCTGAGCCATAATATCTATGGACTTCAACTTATGAGAAAAAGCAAACAGATAAAATTTAGAATTACATGTAAAGCTTTCACACAGATTTACATTCCTGACCATAAAGTAGAAACTGGATTGTTTGCAGACATAAGATAACCAAAAGGGTTTTGTCTAGGTTAACAAAATAAAGAAAAAACATCCCTCAGGCACCAGAGGATCTGTATTGGGCCTCTATGTACCTGCAAGGATGGCAATTTCACAGTTCAACAGTATTTCAGCTCTCAGATATGGATAGGTTGCTAAAATTAATTTGGGGACAGCTGATTTAAAAATAAATTCTGTATCCTGCTACCAGCTGTTTCTAAGATGTTGCTGGGTTGCTTTAATACCATTCCATAGCAGCTTATTTAGAATTCCATAAGTTCAGTAAGTCACATTATGCTAACATTGATTATATCTGGCATAAATACTCTATACTGCAATTATTACTGCTGTTAAAAATAACTCATTTTTAGTTAAGTGAGCACCATGTTGGTAGAAGATTTTAAGGCAAGTTCTTGTGTTACATGACTGATGACTATCAGAGGCCATGGGCCTTGCTGCACTTTACACAGGGACTGAACAAGCTGTACTGGGAATCTAGAGAAGATCAGAAACACTGAGTTCTGTATCTCTGCAAACTCTTGTATCTGATTTTAACCACTGTGCTTAGGTACAGGAAAAATGCAATCACACATTAGACTTTTTCCACCATTTTGTACACACAGATATTTTGTCCAGAGAAAATACTGGTTAAAAAAAATTTAAATCTGTTACTCTGTTACTCTTGGTAATATATTTCTGATTTTTTTATGTTTATCAAGTACAAGATGAAGTAGCTTACATGTTTAAGAACTGAAGCCATGTGACTAAAATACATTCCTACAAACACCACAAAGATAGCTGTTAATAATAAATCTATTCCTGCCATTACATCAAACATCAGTGGTGGTGGTCATGTAGTACTGGGAGACTTTGCTGACACCCAACATAAAAATTATAAAAGAACATAAATGCAGAGAGAAGATACCAATGTTATTAAAATATTTAAGATTTGGAAGTCTTTAATACAAAATACCATTTTCCAGCAAAGATCCCAGTTGTGTCAGCAATACAGAGGAAAGCTGAATTTTTACTTGAGGATGGAGCACTGTCATGATATTAAAACCAAAGACATGAACAAGAATATGGTCAGCCTTGCTAACAAGGGACAAGTTTTTCTCTTCCCTTTTTCCAAGGCAACGTGGAAGACCCAGATGTGACAGAAAACAGATTCACCACCAAGTTTTAGCAGAACTGTTTGCAGAGAAACCACTGAGTCCATGACAATGCTGAAACCAATTCAGGCAAAGATGTCTAAGAAAATCCTTCTATTCAACAAGTTTGAGTTTACACATTTTTGGCTGATGTAATGTACTTAGTTAGAAAGTCCTTCAGCCTGGAAATGTGCATCATTTCCTTCATGGTGGTGTCTCTGCTTCTCAGCTGGACCACTCCATTCTCTAGAGTGCCATCACTTATCAGGACCATGAAGGGAATACTCATCTCATCGTACCTGCAGAGAGAAGAACCCACCTGTTACTGCTTTTGGTGCATGGAAAAAATCAGATAACTTACATACAAATGACCACAAACTGCACATATTTTGTTCTGCTGTATTGCACTAAGTCTGGTGTACACTCCAGTTTTCTTGTTGCCATTCCTTGCTTTCCTGATTATGTCTTCAAATTACTCAGCTACTTTATTATATAAAAAGAATCTTATTTAGTAACCTATTAAAAGAGTATTTTTCTACAAGCAGAATTTCTCGTGTTTTACTGCACATGAACAAGAGGTTGCATTTCTTTTCTCTCAGAAAAAACCACTCATCACTGTGCTCAAGATGAGGAGCCACACACCCCAATCCACTTCTGATTAACAAACCATAACAAAGCCCCCAAATGGAACAGCTGCTTTTATGTCCACAAACATTTCCATCACATCACTCATGGCAGTGGCTCCAGGCTTGGAAGAACTGTCAAATTCAACACAGGGGGTTGTCTGAAAGAGTGCTTAAGAATGAAATATAGAACCAGACCAGATGCAAAAATGGAGGTGAGGGTGGGAATCAGTTCTGCAAGCTTACAATTCATCAGAAGCAATTTGTTTTCTACATGAGAGTTTTAAAAAGTTGCAGGGAAATAACAGTAACATGTGAAAGGCTTATAATTCAATTAATTTTAAAAATTAGCTGATATATGCTTTTCATAATAAAACTACTTGAATCCAAGTCTGTAGTTCAGGATCCACACCTTCAGTCAGTAACTGCACTCAATGGCTTCCTACTGAAAAAAGAAATATTTACAGCAGTCCACAGAAAGTTATCTTTGACCTTCATGGTTTAATTTACAAAAGACTGTTTGTCCTTACTTTGTATAAAGATGTTCCAGAGACACGTGCACAGTTTCCAGATAACCTGGCCATACAGAAATTCCATTTTCTGTCAGTTCATTGAACAATCCTTGACAAACCTGTGTTCATTTAAAAACAAAAGTTAAAGGACAGACTTTGAGGGCTAAGACTCTATACAAAGAAACCATTAAAACTCTTAACAAGTGTGGTATTAACATTCCTAGCTGGTGTTTATTTGCTGGCTGAAATAATCTCAAATCAGAAAGCAGCCTGGCAGTTCTGTCTCCACTTCTGTTTAAAAACATGCCAGTGGAAGCTTCTTCCCTTCCACAGGGACTTCATGACTGGCTTAAATGAAAACTTTTAAAAAATCCTTCTGAATGTGCAACCCAGGTGTTAAGGTAATTCTGACAGATTAAGCTGAGAGGGATGGTGTTATTCATTTTCCTTAATTTTGCATCAAGCATCAGCTGTATTGTACCAAAGACAATTTGTCCACACAAGGAACTGCCTGCAGTGAATTCCTTTGCCTGTGACCCACAAACTGCAGAGCAGCAGCACCACGAACTCTGCACAACCAGCAATCCCCAGGAGTCAAAGCAGCAGCATGATTTTCCTCAATATAAACAGTGTCTGAACTGTAACACATCACATGGAGTCAATGCTCAAAATCAAAATACTCTCTTACAACATACCTGCCTCAGCTCTGTTGTTGGACCTTTTCCTACATCCAAGGCCACTTTAAGGGGTGCTAAGCAAGGATGAAGCTTAAGTACCTAATAAATTTAAAAAAAACAACAGAATACTAAATGTATTTATCATGCAATTCTAAACAGAAGTAGGAAATAGCAATTTTTAAAAAATTAAATTAAGGTCCTAAACATATAAAAATTTTCACAAAATCTTGATTTAGAAGCAAGCTGTAGTTTATGCAACGAGCACACAGCCCAGCTACATTCACATGGCAGAAATGACTCTATTTTGGCTGAGCTCCAGAAGAGAGATGAAGATTTGTTAGCAGAGTTCCATCACCTTGAATGGAGCCAGAGTGATGAGAGGCAGCCCAGCAGGCAGCTCCCAGCCAGTTTACTGCCTGTTCTTAAAGCCCAAAGATCTGCCTGGGCAACAGCACTGACAGCTGACTCCAAGTGCAGAAACCAGGGCAAAAGTGGGGAGAATGATGGGGGAGATGCCCCATCACACCTGGGACCCACTTTCTCTACTCTGCTCAGCCACTTTTCAATGCTGCTGGAAAAGACAAATTGCTCTTTCCCACAACCTGCAGCTACATTCCAATTTCTCTCAACCCTATCACTTGCATGGCAAGATCCCACCTACTGATCAGAGAGGAGGGTAAAACAGGAAAAGGGGACCTCAGAATGAGAAAAATTCCTTATGTAGGTGACAGGGACCACAGGGGCTGTGCCAAGGGGCCAGCCTGGTGCTGCCAGTGAGAAGGTTGAGTCTGCACCCATGGGGATGGGATTAGAATGGCCACGTGGAAAAGGAAACATTGCCATGCTTGAATTTACCACATTGTCTAGAGGAGCTCTACTTATTTTCTGCCAATTTTTACACAAATTTACCTTTCTCTGAGAATTTTTCTTTGCTGTTAATGGATTCTCAACCACCTGTAGAGAATCAAAGAGATAAGCTAACACTCCTCGGTCCAGATTCCCATTCACACACAGAACATGAGGGATGACATTCCTCCTTCCATCTCGGCCCTGAAGAGAAAAAACCCACACAGGAAAACATCAAAGACTGCCCCCAAAAGCTTTTTGTTTGCTTCAAATGTCTAATGAGACACTGAGCTCAAGCACTCTTATTTCATTTAAAATACAGACATTTATTTAAAATATTACCAGCAATTTTAGCAGTGTATCAGTAACCAGGTAAGGCTGTAACAGTGGGGAAAGCAGGTCAGGGCAGGATGGGATTTGTTTCTTGCTCTGCCACTTTGATCATAAATTTAAATCTATGGCAAATACACTTGAAACTCTGCATTTTCTTTTGGAGGTATGTAGATTAGTTCCAAATGACCACGAGTCTCCACATTCTGAGAAATCCCTATGTAACCCAGTTGTGTAGAAATAAACTGCAAAAGCAGGAAAGACAGGACTGTCATGAGAAGGTTGCAATTTTCTAGTAAAATACAAAGTTATTCTTGTTTTATCTGTTCAGCCTAACTCCAAACATTGCCATTTATTAGGTTTGTTCCTCTTCAACATATTCAGTGGAGACATTTCCCTCTGGTCCATCCCTCCCTTTTCTATAAAGCTATTTTTATAACCCATTAATTTATAAAAACTTCTACATACACGAAAGTGAACAAGCTACAGCAAGAAAGCAAACTCACATTCACAGGCTCTTTTTGATGCAAACTGAACAGTGCAGAACACAGTCTGAGTTTTTGTTTCCATTTACTCACAGATACAGTTAAAAGCTATGCCACTGACAACAGCTGTCTGACAATAGGGCTCATTTCTAATTTTGAAGAATTCCTTGCCAAAAAAAAAAAAAGGTACCAAACACTATTTTATCAGCTTTGGAAATGATGGTTTGATTGCAGAGTGTCAACTGTGCTGTTCTTGCAGCAAATGAATAAAAGGCCAGCCACAGGCTAAGCAAGTGGATCAGCAAAGAAACCATTTCCCTCACACATTACCTTCTTTAGCAGGAAAAACGTTTAATACAGTAAAGCTTACAAGTAATTTCGATCTCTCTCCTGGATACAGCTGTAACAGTTCAGTATCACCAAGGTTCTTCAGCGTTTCTATTGTTTCTGTCCCCCAGGGAAAGCTATAATGTAACTTAAATCCTCTTCTTCCTTCTTCATCCTGAAAGTCACTGCTGCTGAAGTTGGAGGGGCCGACAGCAAACTGAAAGTAAGTAACAAGATGTGATCACTACTGCAAATCTCACAGTAACTACAAAAACCAAGTCTGCAATGCAAAATGAAGTCTGGGTCATTTTAGTACCGTTTTCTGATTTTCAGTGAAAGGTTTTTATTAGTTAAAGCCCAAATCTTTTGGTTGTTTTATGGCATTTTCATCTCACGTCACTGACAAACACAAAACATTTGTCTTTCTGCAAGTCACGTCATAAACTAGTTATCAGGTTTATCAACTTCCATAGCTTCTCAATTTCCACCAGAAATGCACCTAGAACAGGCCAGCAATGTAAGGCCATAAAACCAACCAGGGTGAGGTGACCATTCCCCCAAGGCATAAAGGAGCAGGCCAAGATTCCCCATGGATTTGCTGCTGTTACCTTTCTCCACCACTGGAGCCTCTGGCGTAGCCAGTAATCGAGCCACTGTCCTGCAGTTCTGGGAGAACTAAACCAGGCAAGCAGAGACGAGGTCCTCTCGCCTATTCTTTAAACAACAGCAAGGGCAGCAAGTTAACACCTTGGGAAATAACAGGGGAAAAGCAAGAAACAGCATTCAAAAATAATCCAGAAGTGAAACGATTTAGGTATGATAAGGGATTAACTGCTCTATTACTCTACCTTGTCAGGTTTTTGCTGTGTTGTTCATTTCCTGAAACGGAATGTTCACTTTCTGGAACAGAATGAAAGCACACTCCAATCTGAGCAAGGCCACAGGGCAGTCTTTTGTTCACCAGCTCTAAGCAGCTGACATATTGCGCCAGAACACCTGCAAAAGACAAAGCCCTGTTTTTAGTGGCCACGAGAAAGTTTCTGATGTTTTAACTCTACCAAGAAAAAATTAAGCACATATTTTACACGTGTTGTTTGTACATGCAGTCCCACTATCTTTACTAGCGTTGATGCTTTACAGACATGGGCTCAGCAAGCTGGTTCCTCTGGACACGTAGATTTTAATGTGCTTTTCCCCGAATTACTGGGAGCGTATCTGCTGCCCACCTGTACTGGTCAGATCCTTGAAAAGCACGCATAGAAGGAACATTCCCACCGCACCAAGGCAGCTGGGAAAATCCCTTAAATGCAGCTGCTTCGCTCCCAGCAGGAAACTCGTGCTCAGGGTGGAGCGGAGCCGCCCGGGACCTACCGGGCAGGAGGCTCTCCCGCAGCAGCCCC